GATAGGCTCTTGATTTCTCTGGAATGGGAAGATGCTTTCCCAACTCAAAGCAGTAAGCTCTTCTAAGGGCTGTTTCTGATTATATTCCAATTCTGTTAGACACAGGTGGTTTAAGGAAAAACCCTTCTCCTTTTAGACTTGACCACTGTTGGCTAGACTCAGAGGAAATGGGGTCAAATATTCAGTAGTGGTGAGCTGAAGCCTCCTTTGAAGGCACAACCAGCCATGTTTTCTTCAAAAAACTTCAATGGCTGAAGTTTAAATTAAAGTTCTGGCAGAAGGAAATAGTGAATGGGTTTAATTGTAGATCTAGATGCTTAGGAGGAAGCAGGTCCTCTAGACAAAGCTAATAGGAGGAAAAGGGCAGGGGCAAAAAGACTATTATTCCTTAACCTACCAAAATGAAATCAGATGGAGGCAAAGGGCAAGCAAGGGCAATATGGCTGAAAGCTGGTGGTAGTAATACAGCTTTCTTTCACAAATTAGCCAATGCTAGAAGAAGAGTCAACTCCATAAATCATCTGGAGTTGGGAGATAGGACTGTGATTCAAGAGAAGGACATTGCTGAAGCCTTTGAAAGCTACTTTAAAAATCTCATCAGTGACCCTTGTAGGAATAGGCCAAAGCTGAATGGTCTACAGTTTAGTTTGCTCTCAGATCAGCAGGCTTTGGAGTTAGAAAACCCTTCTCTGAAGAGGAGGTTAAGGAGGCCATTGGCAGCTTGGAAGGGGAAAAGGCCCTGGGGCCAGATGGGTTTTCTATCCTTTTCTTTAAGAAGTTCCGGGAGCTAATTAAATCAGATCTGCTAAAGGTGTTAGAAGAGTTTCATGAGTTAACTGCTCCAGAGAGAAGTCTAAATGTGGCTTTCTTATCTCTAATACCTAAGAAAACTGGAGCTCAAGAGTTAAAAGATTTCAGGCCAATAAGTTTGATTGGTAGTGTGTACAAAATCTTAGCTAAAATCCAGCAACTAGGCTAAGAGGAGTGATGGACTCTTTGATTTCTATCTACCAAGGTGCTTTTGTCCATAACAAAAATCCATGATGGAGTTCTTATAGCCAATGGGTTAATTGACTCAAGAAAAAGAAGTGGAAAATCAGTGCTGGTGTGCAAATTAGACTTAGAAAAAGCCTATGATCATGTAAATTGGGCTTTTTTAGAAAGAATGCATTTTGGATATAAGTGGAGAAACTGAATAGAATTCTGCATTTCCACTCCAAGGTTCTCAATCTTGCTAAATGGGTCAACAAAAAGAAGTTTCAACAGCTCAAGAGGGTTGAGACAAGGTGACCCTCTATCATCTTTGCTCTTTCTATTGGTGATGGAAGGTCTCAGCAAGTTGGTGGGCAGGGCCTCAGATCTGAATCTCTTAGAAGGATTTGAAGTAAGTTCTACTGGAACAAAAATCCCCATCCTACAATATGCAGATGACACTCCTTTTCTGCAGTGCTTCAGGTGACCAAATCCTTGATCTGAAATATTTGCTATTTTGGTTTGAGATAATTTCAGGGCTGAAGGTGAATTTAGCAAAAAGTGAACTATTCGCTCATGGAGAGGTGCCTAACATTCATAGTTTGGCTGATCTATTGGGCTGCAAAGTGGACAATTTATTTGGGTTTGCCCCTTGGTGCCAAATGCATCTTTAAAGCAATTTTTGGAACCCAGTCCTAGGAAGAATGGACCAAAAATTGGCTTTGTGGAAGGCAAGATGTCTCTCTTATGGTGTGGCAAGGCCACACTCATCAAAAGTGTACATAGTAGCCTCCGAACTTTATGAGCCTCTTTCCCATTCCTTCAGAGGTAGCAAAGGAAAAGGAAAAAAAAGATGAGAAATTTTCTTTGGAAAGGCTGGAAAGATTCCCACAAGTACCATTTGGTGAGCTGGGAGCAAATCTGCAAGCCCCAGTCACAGGGTGGGTTGGGAATAAGAAACCTAAAGTTTTTCAACCATTCCCCATTGGGAAGTTGGCTGTGGAGGTTCTCAACTGAACCAAACAAACTCTGGAGGAAGGTGATTGAGGAGAAATATGGCTTGAGGAACAATGGGTGGGATGCTGTTATTCTCCCCAGTACTTACGGTTGTGGGGTGTGGAAAGGAGTTTGTAGGCTTATAGGTAGTTCAGCAGGTGCATCAAATTTAAAGTGGGAGATGGAAGAAAAACCAGGTTCTGATTAGACCAGTGGGCTGGTGACTGCACTCTAAAAGAGTTGCTCCCGGCCTTGTATAATGTGGCTGTAGATAAGGAGGCTTTAGTGGCTGATTCTTTGTTGTTTCAGGAAGGCAGGCTATGCTGGGTTCCTCCCTTTAGGAGAAGTTTTAATGACTGGGAAATTCAGCAGGTGGCAGAGTTTCTTAATCTGTTACAAGACCAACAACTAAATGTCCAGATGCAAGACTCAAGAGTTTGGAAATGGTCAAAATCAGGAGAATTCTCAGTCAAATCCTTCTACAATTTTGTAGTGGGGAGGTCTGAAGTCCCTTTTCCTAGTCAAGCCATTTGGGGGGAATTTGGCTTCTCCAAAAGTCAAATTTTTTGTATGGGTGGCAGCTCTGGAGAGGTGTTTGTCCAAAGAAATGTTACTGAAAAAAGGTCTTATTTTGTCAGATTGGAGGTGCTGTTTTTGCAATGTGCAAGTAGAATCATCTGGGCATCTCTTCCTTCATTGCAAGGTTAGTTCTGCAGTTTGGTCTCACTTCAAATCCCTGAATCTAAGATGGTGCATGCCAGCCTCAGTTAGAGGTCTGTTAGAGGAATGGCATATTTAGGGGCTGTCTAAGAAAGGAAAGTTATGCTGGACTTTCATCCTTATGGCAGTGCTGTGGACTGTGTGGTCAGAAAGGAACAATAGGATTTTTGAAAATAAAATTTTCTACTGAAGCCGAGGTCATTAACTTGGCAATAGAGGTTTTGAAAAGTTGGATGTCTTTACATACTGATTTTAGAGATAGTAGTTCTGATTATACTTTTTTTGAGGACGGCCTTCTTTTGAGGTCCTTCATTTTGTACAGCTTCTCAATGTACACAGGACCTTTTATTAATACAATCACACTCTACCTTTTCTCGAAAAAAAAGATGTGGTGCCTTAGTATTGTGTTTCCTGCAGTAATTCAGTTGGGAAGGAAGGGGAGCAAGAGAAAAGAAGAAAAAAGACAAAAGTTTTGAGTCAAAAAATGGATGGAGGTGCTCACTCTTCTTATTATATATTAAGTGAGCTAACCTAACATCTACCAACTGCTCCTTCGAGGAAACCAATGGAAGACTAGTTTTCCTTTACCAAATGCATTTAATATAATGTATTTAGTCATAGGCTCAAAAGCCTGGCCCAGCCTGGCATTGGCCCATTTAAGCCCAGGCTTGGGCTTATATTTAAGGTGTGGCTCCTTCTCTATATGTAACCAAACCATTGTAGTCTACTTTCCCTCATTTTATCACCTACTGGAGCTACTCCCAGGTACCTTTGAATGAGTTCATTTTTAATCCTATTCTTCATTGTTTTCCCACTCATCCATCTCAACATTTGCATTTCTACCACTTATTTTTTAGATATTCTGTTTCTTGATTGCCTATCATTCTGCTCCATATAGCATTGTTGGCCTTACAAAGGGCAGCCCAGTGCACGAGGCTCCTGCCAATTCAGGGTTGGGGAGGGACAAATGTATGCATCACCCCTACACATACAAAGAGGTTGTTTCCAACTGTTTTATAAAATTTTTCTTTTAGCCAAAGTGGTGTTTGACTATCACATAAGACTCTAGATGCACCTTTCCGTTTTGCCCATCCTGCTCTAATTCTATGGGTAGCATCCTCAATCTATCCCTTGTCATTGGTTATTAAACTAAGGTAATGGAAGAGGTCACACTGAATAACCTCTTAGTGTAATCCATTTCAATAAGCAATACCACATTAACAGCCAAACAAACCTCTGGTTCTCCAGCTGCTTTTGGCAACAACAGAACATAATCATATGTAACTCTCTTAAATGAATTCAAACAGTTGTTGAGATCGGATCCTTTTTTCAGTAGTTATTCCTACATGCAAATGGTCATGCAAATGGTATCTATCTGTATGCAATCATAGAGTACCCCATGCATGTTGTCTCTTGGGTTGGGAAGGGGGTTAGGAGGTGAAGATGGTATTTTATTCAATGTCTGACATTGATGCATGCTTTGTTTTTATGTTTCTCAGTTCTTTTATTTTTAGGCAATATAGTAGATATTTGTTTTGACTAATCTATCTAATATTATCAAACAATTGTTTGTAAAGGAAAAAACTATAATATTTGGCTGAGGTCAGCTAGAACTCTATTTCAGGCCAAGATTCAGGTGCATGCTGAACTCAACTTTGTTACATTTAGGTTCAGTCTGGCCAAAGTTTGGGCCAGCCCAATTTTAGTTACACCCCTATATTATAATTTGGTGGTTTATGACACTAGATCATAAAGATTCCATTGTTCAGCTTCTTGTCATATTGTCAAGTGGATGCAATAACTGTTCTCTATATTTGTTGTGCTGCATTTGTCTGGTGGATGTAATAACTAACTAGCATCCTATGAAGGAAATTAAAAAAAAAAAGTTATTGCAAGGGATAGCATTCCAAATCATCTGGTGTGCACTTCCTGCTGCAAGCTCATGAATACACACTTCTCATATTCAATAGGATTTTCTTAGGCCTCCAATTAAAAGGGATTCTTCTGCTAAATTGAGACCATTGTTAATGTAGATAGTAGTTTTGGAGTTTTGATTTGTCTGTTATGTAGCTTTTCTGTTCCTTGTTTGGTAGTTTGATATTTATGTTCTGCGTTGAATTTATCAAAATAGCTTTGATCGTTGATATGTAAATTCAATTATTATGGAGTTCATGCTTTATGTGATGTAATTGCAAATATGTAATGTGATGACCAACTTTGAATTGCTCAATTTAATGCTTAGAACATTCTCAGTATCATTCATCCACGAGGAGGGATAGGCCTCAATATTAAGTATTTTTCTTCACTCACAGGTCCCAAAACCAATGAGTTTTTTCCTAGAAGCTTCTTCGGATGAAAAGTGTGTGAAACAGATACTTCGTCTTATTCTCTCAAAATTTGGCCGTCGTCATCCTGGCCGATCAGATAATGACTGGGCAAACATGTGGCGTGATATGCAATGCTTTCAAGAAAAGGCATTTCCTTTTCTAGACATTGAGTATTTGTTGACAGAATTCTGTAGGGGACTGCTAAAAGCTGGGAAATTTTCTCTTGCAAGGAATTATTTAAAGGGAACTGGTACAGTTGCTTTAGCAACAGAGAGGGCAGAAAGTCTTGTTATTCAAGCTGCAAAGGACTATTTTTTCTCAGCTTCAAGTCTTGCCTGTACAGAAGTGAGTATCCATATTTCTGCCATATTTTTCTTTTAATTGGTAACTGTAAACTAAATTACTGAGGGAAATAGATTACAAATATACTAAATTGCCAAATAATCCACTTAAAAATCTACCAGAGGCTGCGTAACCCTCTCTTATGTTTTTACATTTCAGTATTTACAATCGTCACTAGAAAGTTTCTTCCCTATAAACCCTGCTGTTCTTGGCCAGTGCTAATCCATTGGCTGTCCTTGGAACCAAAATGAAGTTGCATACCATTCCACTTGACAGGATTTTTACTTCCTTCATTTTGTGTCTGTATGGTGAAGGTTTTTTGTTTCTTCCTTCTAGCCATTCCACTACTATTCCTTTCAGCCACCAAATTGCTGTGGTTTAGAGATCTTCCAAGATGGAGGCCATTTTAGACTACCAACAATTCATCTGTTAGAAAAACCATTTCCTATTGGACCTGAATGGCTAAGATTCTCCCAATTTCATCCCTAAAAGCCCCTCTGATACCTGATGGTTCAGCATTGCCCAAGGTAGAACCATCAAAATTCAACTTAGGTTGGTCTCCCACTGGTGGCTGCCAAGAGGCTGTGATAGTACATCCTATTGCAGTGGAAGATTGCGTCTGCAATATTTGTCCTATCCATCGATTTTTTAAGGCCTGCAGTGTCCATAAAATAGAAAAAAAGGCTCTTTGATAGTCAGCAGTTTAATTGTATGAGTTGACCTGTTCCCTGTTGTCAACGTCATGTCATATTAATTAAGTTTATAAAAAATCTTAAGAATAGATTGGATAATTTAAGAAAACTAAGAAACTAATATTGTAATGACATCCAAAAGTAAAGATTATAACAAGTGAACCTTAAAATTGTGTTTGATAATTTCCAAAACAGGGGCTGAAAACAGAATATTATAAATAGATTGCAATTAAGCCAATTAATATTATAAACAGAATATTTCCTGTTGATGCAAGAATATTATAATTTTTTGCACTAAGCCGATTAATATTTCAATGAATACTCAACTCACAATAATTATTCAAATGAATAAATAGATTGCAATTAACAAGAACAACTTGAGTATTCAATTTTGTGCTAAACCAGCTTCTTGCAAGTTTAACCAATGTGTCAATGTGTGTCCAATAAGTGTATTCAAGTAAGAGCAAAGTGTATAAAAGATACGAAGAGAAGAGGGCACACAAGACACCAAAATTTATAGTGGTTCAGCCAATCTCAGGCCTACATCCACTCCCCAAGTCAAGCTTAGGAATTTTAATCTATTAACCCAACTAGTTTAAAGGTACTAGTCAAACCCTTACAATGATTGGTTGATAGAGTGCTAGTCACACTTTGGCTAGTTGATACAGTGCTAGCCACACTTAGCTAATTGATATGGTGTTAGCCACACCCCAGCTCGTTGCTATGGTGCTAGTCACACCCCTGTTTGTTGATATGGTGATGGCCACACTATGACTAGTTGATATAGTGCCAATCCACCAAATAAACTAACAACTTAAGGGTAGAGGATATAACTACTATTTACAAATCCTTAACAAAGATAATGCCAATACAAACACAAACTATTACAACTTTTTCATAAGAACAAGTGCTCAATTAACATAGCAAGTATAAATCAGTTGTGTTCTGTTTTTAGCTTAATTTTGAAGGAATAAATTTAATCTCAGGTCTGTAACCTTTCCTTCAAGTATGAACTTGGGACTCTTCAGATAAATCACAAGCAAGTTAGGTAAGAACCCCTTTTCTCTGCCAGTGATTTAAAAGGCGCGCCTAGGCGCACAGGCGAGGCGCATTTTGGGGTATGCGCCTCGTCCAGGTCCTAGGCGCACAGGCGAGGCGCATTTTGGGGTATGCGCCTCGTTCAGGTCCTAGGCGCACCCCTTTCAAAAGGCGCACACCTGGTGCACCTAGGCGTGCGCCTGATGCACCTTGCACCTCAGCCCAAGCATGCGCCTTTTTAAAATTTTGCACTTTTTGCCTTTTTCTGAGTCTAATGGCTGGGCTAGGGGCTTCCTTCCCTTCCCTTCCCTTTCCTTTCCTTTCTTTTTTTTTTCTTTTTTCTTTTTTTTTTCTTTTTATATCAGATGTGCATGAGGCGTACGCCTCTAGCACGCCTCATGAAAAAAGCGCAAGAGGTGTTAGCGCCTCTGGCATACGCCTCAGGGCGTTTTGGGAGCGCCTCGCCTGGAGGCACACCTCCAGGTGTACGCCTCCCATGCCATTTAAGACACTGAAATAAACAAAGTTAAGTTCAGTGAGAAGGTACTCTTCCAATAAAGCTTGGTCTGGAAAAGCGATTAGCCAAATAAAGCTTCAGTAAAAACTTTGTATTCTCTTTTCTTCTTTTTGTATTCTTCTCCAAAAGTTCTAAAACTTACTTTCGAAGTTTTAATCTTTTTTCTTTTGAACACTGATTTAGACCAATCTTATATATATATATATATATATATTAAAGTAATGATTTCAGGCAAAGCTCCCTACATCAACATCAGTTGTGGTCCAAATGGTTTGAAAACGGTCTAAAAACAAATAGTAAAAATAGAGGTCACTCCGGGGACATCTTTGGGAATGTTTTCGAATGACTATGTCGTCCATTCAATATTTGGGGATGTCCCCTAATTGGACTATTTGTCAAGTTTTCTGATGTTCTGACTTTCCCAAATAATTTTTAAAACCTTTGTAAGCCACATTAGGTCCAAATGGAAAAAAGATTTAATCAATCTCAACCATTCTGAATAAAGTTAACCATTTTTAAATGATTAATTAAGTGTATTTGAGCCTAAGTAAAAGTGAATGAACTGTTTACAAAAGTTTCCTAGAAAATACATTGTCTTCAACTTGTGCAGCCGTCTTGCTTGAAACCTTGTTCATTCTCTTTCTTCCTGGCCTTGAGTGAAGTGGAAACTGTGGAATATTCCACGTATGAATCAAACTCCAAGGGCCAAGGCTTGTCCACCAACCATGAATTTGTCTTGCTTTTCATGAGATACAATTGCACTTTGCCAGTTTAGCTTAATTGCAAGACTTAAGCAAATCAGATTAATCAAGTGCTTTATTATCATGAGAACACAGATAATATTGACTTAATGCTCAACATAAGTTGTTTGGGTTGCAATGGGTTGACCCTGGAGACCTTTAAAGCTTATTCAGTGCATGGACAACTACGTGTTTCAGTAAGAGGAAATTTTCTATGGTTTATGTTCCATTTTTCCATCTGCTGGATTTTATGGTCTGAAAGGAACTTACATTTATGACCACAGGTGCCAGACCTAAAATGTAAGCCATTTTAAATTTGGAATCTTTTCTACCTTATGCTTTCACAACCTTTCCAACAGTCATAAAATATCCCCTTAGGCCTTAGTCATGTTTTCTGGTTAATGAGACAAAAATTCAAATCACCAAATGGATATGCATACACTGCATAAGGAAAGTAAGTATGACCATTTAATTTTTTTTCTTGATAGAAACAAACTGGTGCCGTTGATTGTGCAGTGGTAAAAAAATTGGTTTTCAAGTATGAGAACATGGGATTGAATCCAAGAGCAGTGACTTTGTGCAAAAATGGCAAAAGTCCATATGCTGTTTATCCTTCACAAGACACCGGATTGCTGGAACCAGTATTGCATAATGGTCCTCTGATAAAAACAAATGGGTCAAAAAAATTTAATAAGATAAAGTACAAAGAGATGGAAAACACATAGAAAAGCATACCCTGGCTAGTCACTATTCATCCCCCCAAAAAATGACAACACTAAAGAAAAACAGAAAAGTTATAAAGGGAGGACCATATCTGAATACAATTCACTCCCCATGCCTCTTCTGGTCAAGGAATCTGCTAACTCATTCGATGATCTTCAGATGCAAGGAAAGTATGAAAAAACCAAGATAATGTTGCTTCACTTCTCAAGGACTGTGGGTCTTCATAGGATGGATTTTATTTTTAAAAAGAATGACATTGTGGTTTTTGAGGTTGCTTCACTGTAAAGGTGCTTTGCCCTTTCCCCATTATGATTTTTTCTAGATTACTTGTCTGAAAATAGTACATAACTGAGACATTTGACTTGCAATGTGTATCAAGACCTGCATCATCTATGAGGGTTAAAAAGGGCTGGTTTCCAGCACCATTGTACATTGCTGTTCATGGTCTCCTCTGTATGGCCTGGTGTTTTTCTATGTGTGCCACATACATGCATCATTGTTTTTTTTTGATAAACACACATATACATCATTTGTTTTCACACTATTAATCTAGCATCGGCATATTTAGATTTCAATTATAGAGGGATAATGGACATAATTGATTCATACAGTTTTTACATTTTCTTGTCACTTCTCCCTTTATGTGATCTCAAAATCCAATTAGTATTATTTTCTCTGATCAATATTTTTATATTCTTCTTTTAATTTCCAATAAATCTGAAAATAAATTTTGTTGCATTTGGTACTTACATTTAAATTTTCTTCCACATGTAGATTTGGAAAGCTAAAGAGTGTTTAAGCATCTTTCCAAGTAGCAAAGCCGTTAAAGAAGAGGCTGATATCATAGATGCACTAACCATTAAACTTCCAAATCTTGGAGTGACTCTTCTACCAATGCAGTTTAAGCAAATAAGCAACAAAATGGAGATCATTAAGATGGCAATTACAAGCCAGAGTGGAGCATATCTTAATGTAGATGAACTTATTGAAATTGCTAAGCTTCTTGGTTTGAGATCCCAGGATCAGATAGCAGCAGTGCAAGAAGCCGTGGCAAGGGAAGCTGCAGTTGCTGGTGATCTGCAACTGGCCTTTGATCTCTGCCTTGTCTTGGCTAGAACAGGACATGGAGCAATTTGGGACTTGTGTGCTGCAATAGCAAGAGGCCCAGTACTTGAAAATATGGAAATAAGTTCTCGGAGGCAGCTATTAGGTTTTGCTTTGAGCCATTGTGATGAGCAATCAGTTGGTGAGCTTCTACATGCATGGAAAGATCTAGATATCCAAAGTCAATGTGAATCATTAATAATTTTGACAGGGACAAATCCTCAAGATGTCTCTATCCAAGATTCTTCAATCAGTTCAGTTTCAGCCCACAATACCGAGGACAAAGTGGATCTAAGAAACTGTTCTGGAGTGGTAGAACATACTAATAATGAGGTTCATTTTAGAAGTATCAAAAACATGCTTTCTACTGTTGCAAAGGAGTTGCCTATTAAGGAATGGACAAATTGGGATTCTTTTTTGAGAGAAAATGGAAAAATCCTATCTTTTGCTGCTCTGCAACTCCCATGGCTGCTGGAATTGAGTAGAGGGGTGGAGTATGGGAAAACAAGTATTCCTAGTGCAAAAAATCCTGATGCAAAGCAGTATATCAGCGTGAGAACACAAGCTGTGGTGTGTATTCTGTCGTGGTTGGCAAGGAATAATATTGCCCCCAGTGACAATCTAATTGGCTCTCTAGCAAAATCAGTAATGGAACCGCCATTTACTGAGGATGAAGATATTCTAGGCTGCTCCTTCCTTTTAAATCTCGTAGATGCATTTAATGGAGTGGAAATAATAGAGGAGCAATTGAGAAGCAGGGAAAAATACCATGAAATCTGTAGCATCATGAACATGGGAATGGTATATAGTTCTTTACACAATGCCAGTGTTGAGTGTAGAGGTCCTATTCAGAGAAGAGAATTGCTCCTGGGGAAGTTTCAAGAGAAACACACACCACTCAGTTCAGGTGATTTATTATTCCTTCATTATTTTGCTTTGTGGCATAAGATTATTTGGTTCTTGCTTTGTGTCAATTGTAGACGCCTATGGTACACTTAAGTATTCTGTGAATAGATTGCATTCTTCTTTTTTCCTCAATCTAACATGCCCCCTGCTCCAAAAAAATCATTTGTGAATCAGATGAAATAATCATGATTGACAAAGAACAATCAACCTTCTGGAGAGAATGGAAGTCAAAATTGGAGGAGAAGAAGCATATCGCAGACCGATCAAGGGAACTAGAGCAAATAATTCCTGGGGTGGAAACTGCACGTTTTCTCTCTGGGGATTTGGATTACATTGGGAGTGTTATTTTCTCTCTAATTGATTCAGTAAAACTAGAAAGGAAAACTATTTTGAAGGATGTTCTGAAATTAGCTGATACTTATGGTTTGAATCACACCAAGGTCAGTCTGTCTGCCTGTCTCGCTCTCTCTCTGTTGTGTGTGTTGTAATGCACCCATTCTAATCAGTTGATAGCTTTATTATTCTTTCTTGTTTTTGTAGGTTTTGCTGCGGTTCCTATGTTGTGTACTTATTTCAGAAGTTTGGGCAAATGATGATGTTGCATCTGAAATTTCAGATTATAAGGATGAATTACTAGCATGTTCTGCAGATCTTGTTAATGCCATTTCCTCCATTGTCTACCCTGCAATTGATGGGCGCAACAAGCAGCGCCTTGGTTACATATACAGCATCCTCTCAGAATGCTATTTGCAGATTAATGGAGCCAAAGAGCCCCTGTCACTGATGCACCATGATTCATCACATACCCCTAGTGTAAGCTTAAGCCAATTTTACAAGGTTCTTGAGCAAGAATGTGGGAGGGTTTCCTTTATCAAGAACTTGGACTTCAAGAATGTTGCTGGTTTAGGTGGTTTGAATTTTGAGTGCTTCAAAGATGAAATTTACAATCATATTGATGAATTTAATGTTGAAGCTTTGGCAAAAATGGTTCAGACACTTGCTACTGTGTATACTAATTCAGGGTGTCTCATGACATGGCAGGATGTTTACAAACACTATGTGCTGCGTTTGTTGACTAGTATGGAGAATAGACTTGAAATGAATATTCATCTTGATAAGCCTGACAATTTTCAGAGCTTTTTGATTGAACTTGAGCAGAACTATGATGTTTGCAGGATTTATATCAGAGCTCTTTCTCAAGCAGATGCTTTGGACATAATGAGGCGGTACTATACATTAAGCATTCCTCATAGTGGCTCTTCTATGAATCAATCAAGTGATTTGGCATGGTTTGATTGCCTCATATTGGTTTTGAACTTTTGGATCAGAATGACTGATGATATGCAGGAGATTGCATCTCAAGAGAGTTCTCTGGATGAAATCCCCAAGTTCAATCCAGAGTGTCTGTTTAAATGTCTAAAAGTGTTTGTAAACTTGGTAATGGAGGAGATAGTCTTGGAAGATCAGGGCTGGGCCACTGTTCATTCCTATGTCAATCATCGCCTTATAGATGTATCCCTTTTTGAGGTTTTCAGTTTCTGCAGAGCCATGATAGTTTCAGGCTGTGAATTTGTTGCCATTGCTGCTGTGTTCTCTGAAGCAGTGGCACAGTATCTAACCAGCTCAACTTTGGGCTCAGATAGTGTGTGTAATCTGGATTCTCTTCAGAAACTTCCTCATCTTTATGTAAACATATTGAACTCACTTTTGTTTGACTTGACCACTGAATTCCTTGATCACAAGAATTTACATCATCTATTGTCATCTCTTAGTAAGTTGGAGGGTGATCTAGATGATCTAAAGAGTGTCAGATATGCAGTTTGGGAAAGACTTGTTGCATTCTCCGATAATATGGAGCAGCAGAATCAAGTCCGGGTTTATGCACTGGAACTTATGCAGTCCATCATGGGGAGAAAACTAAAGGGTCTTTCTACAGAGCTCCTTTCTGATGTTCAACCATGGGAAGGGTGGGATGAGTTGCACTGTACTACTGCAAACAGTGAGACTGCTAATCAAGGTGAGCCAAATTATTCAGATGTATCAAACAAGTTTACAAGTACTTTAGTTTCTCTTAAATCAACTCAATTGGCAGAGGCAATTTCACCAGGCATAGAAATTACACCTGATGATCTTTTGACTATAGACTCAGCAGTATCTTGCTTCTTGAATTTGTCCAAAGCTTCAACAACAGAAGCCCATGTCAATGCTCTGCAAATGATTTTGGGAGAATGGGACGGGATTTTCACCATTGGTAGACATGAAGAGGATTCTGGTGAAGCATCTGGAGCTGGGAACAACTGGAGCACTGATGGGTGGGATGAAGGATGGGAAAGCTTTCAGGAAGAAGATTCAGTTGAGAAAGAGGGGAGGAAAGAGAGAGGTATTTCTGTTCATCCACTACACATCTGTTGGATGGAATTAATCAGGAAACTTGTTATGCTGTCCCGATTTGCTGATGTGTTAGAACTAATGGACGAGTCTATATCAAAATCTAATGGTGTTTTGCTGGATGAAGACGGCGCTTGGAGCATGAGCCAGCTAATTTCTAGCATGGATTGTTTTGCAGCTCTAAAAATGGTGCTTTTACTACCTTATGAAGCTATTCGGTTGCAATGCTTAAGCACAGTTGAATCTAAGTTGAAAGAAGGCATCCCAAACATGACAAGTGGAGACTACGAGCTTTTTGTGCTCATTCTATCATCTAGGACCATATCTACCATTGCAAACAACTCCAGCTACAGCACCACTTTTTCTTATGTCTGTTATTTAGTTGGGCACTTCTCTCACCTCTGCCAGGAAAGTCAATTATCCCAGATCAAAGGTGGATGGAAAGAGAGAAACAAAAGCAATGAAAATGATGCTTTGCTTCTATTCAGAAGAGTTTTGTTCCCGTGTTTCATATCAGAGCTTGTGAAAGTGAATCAGCAGTTTTTAGCAGGAATCATTGTTAGTAAATTTATGCATACACATCCTTCTCTAAGTCTTATCAACATTGCAGAAGCTAGTCTTAGAAGGTATTTGGAAGGGCAGGTTCACTTGGAACAATGTGCCAATTCCCATTTTGAAGAGATAGGTTCATATAGATCATTAAGAAACAGTGTTTCCAGCTTGAGAAATAAGTTGGAAAGTGTGATTCAATCTGCTTTGTCATGCCTTTCAACTAATGTGAAATGAGAAGGCTATTTACTGTTTACCTGTTGCGAAGGAATGGTATATTTTTATTGTGCAAGAAATCATGAATACAAGATTTAGAACTAGAACAATATATGTTGAAAGAGTTGTCCTGCCATACATCACACTGCTCTGCTAAAGTGTTCCAAAGAGTGCAGGGATCTGCATCACAATGACCAAAGCTATCCAGAATAATAGTGACTGTTGGCCACCTGTTTGTTTGAATTCCTCCATCGGTCCAGCTTTTTTGCTTCAATTTTTTTCATGAAATAAGCTGCTGCTGGATGTTTGAAGAAATGCTGGGCTGTTGACCAATGAGTACTAAACATATCTTGGTCTACCTTTGTAAAGCGGGCACATATCTAAATACACGGCTTGGCTTTTCGTTCACTGTTGAGAAATTACAAGCGTGTAATTAGACAGGTGTAGGAGACCCAATTAGGGGCCTATTACTTGGTGTAATGATAAAATCTTGGCCTGTCAGGTGTAAGAATCCGTTGGATAGCTGGACGGTACAGGGGCCGAGGGCCGGCTACTAAAAGAAAGGCTGGATAATTTTGCTTTAGTTAGCGAAAGACAAAAAGTAAAATTGTAAAAATGGTTAGCAAAATCTGAAACTTCCAGCACCTCACCAATTTAGAGGGAAGGACAACTTTGTCTAATGATCACAAGGATTTGCATCTAAATTATATAGCAGAGGACATAATCAACTGAGTTTGTTAGAGAAGATATAGGAGAACAAAAGGGAAGAGAATAAACAAGGTTAAAATTAAAGCAGAATGAAATGGAGACAGATGATGTCACATGTTTGTTGGTGGGTCCATCTATCCAGTAATTAGAAGGTGCTTGAGATTGAAGTGTCTTTTTTTTTTTTGAAAGAAGCCCGTAGGCAGAATTCCATTAGTTCGACAAAAAGTCTATTTCAACAGTATTACATAAAAAAACTGGAATAGAAGACCAAGTAAAAAGTCTAGACAGAGATAAACCTCGTCTAGCAACTAAATGGGCAGCCACACGTCTGCCAACTAAGTGTTTTAGAGTCCATTCAATGTGTCCAAGTTGAATCAATTAATTGGGTCCATAGTGGGTAGTTATGTAGAGAATGGGTGCAATGGTGCATTGATTTGGAACACGTATCAGGGTCAGGCCAAGTATTTAGGAGATGGTTGTAACGATGGGTCATTAAGTGGTCTATTTAAGTTGTAATTCTTCTCTTAATCAGATTATTGAGATCAGCTTCAGTGCTCATTTGCTGCCTTGCATTTGGAATATCTCTGTACTTGCATGCTTTTTTTTCATGAGGAGATATTCCCAATACAAGGCTGCAAGGGACTGTGAGAATGGTGTAAGCACGGTCATGTGAGCATTGAAGCTGATTTCCAGATTGTTATGAGAATTATCCTTGTTAATTGAAAGTTATCTTCTTAGAGGGCTTATTCTCCCTCAAAGCAGATGGAATTCATGTTACGTCCCCATAGTTTGCAATCTATTTACTTAATCTAGAGGTGTAATTTGGGCCGTGCCGCCCGCAGCCCAACACGATTTTGATCTGGCTTGACATGACTATATGGGCCATGTTGGGACTAGGGTTTCAGGTTGGCGGGCCAAGCCAGCACGGCTGCAATGTCGTGCCATGCTGCTCATGGCATGGCCCAGCCCGTAACGGGCCGCGCTCGGCCTACCCAAAAAAACTAGCCATTAGAGACCCCCAATGGCTAGTTAACTTTTTATATAGGGGGGTATTTATGTATTTTGGCTTTGAGGGGAGATAAAATGACAATAATGCCCCCAACAACTATATAACAACTAGTTTAGGGGGATATTTAGGTAAAGTGATAAATAACTTTATAATGACCAAAATACCCCTCTTAACAACTAAAAACAACTAGTTTTTAGGGTATTTTAGGGAATTAAATTATTTTCAATTCCTATATATAGCCTTATCCTCCACCATTCTCATCACACTAATTCTCATACTCTCTTGTACTCTCTCAAATCTCAATCTCTTCTCATACATTATATTCTCATACTCTCTCTACTCTCCAATTCTCAACTTGATTCAAATTTCAACAAGAAGAAGACTTGCTCAAATATCTCAAGTTAGCAATTTGGGAAACTTGGAGGCTTCAACCATTGAAATCAAGTTAAGATTCAGAACCAGCAAGTCGAGTAAGTGCAATTAAATTAATTTTTTATTTTTTTATAATTAAAAAAGTGGTTGGTTTCTCTTCTCGCTCTCGACACCAAATCCCCAATGTGGTCGATGTCGATGATGTCGATGTTCAGTTGCAATATGATAGTGTTAACTTCAATATAAATGCTACAGATATTGCCGATGTTCCCACCCCTAAGTTGATTAGCCCAATTTCGACAATATTTAAAATAGAGAAGGTTTGGGAAGGGAAAGAAAGTCATTTGTCAAAAGTGTAGGAGCAACTTTAGCTATAGTAGTAGTGGTGGTACTAGCCACTTGGGCAGATGTTTGAAGCACCATTTGATGAAAGAAGAAGAAGGAAAAGAAACATCACAAGCACAAATAGGAAGTGAGATTTTTGGTACTTTTAAACATTCCTAAAAAAAATGAGGCAAGAATTAGCAAAATACATTGTGTATGCTGAACATCTATTTTTATTAGTCAAATATACTAAACTTGAAAATTTTCACATAGATCTATAAATCCACAATTTTAAAATGTTTCTAGAAATACTATTAGAACAGATGCTTTAAAATTTTTTTATTCATATAAAAAAAAATTAATTTCTATGTTATCAAATCTTAATTCTAAAATTGCAATTACTTCTGATATTTGAGCATTTAGATTTAACATAAGTTATATTTGTATTACCAATCATTTTATTGATGAAAAATGACTTTTAATAAAATAATTTTAAGTTTTACTAGGCTTGAATGGCCACATACTGGTGCAATTATTGCTGCAAGTATTTTAAATACTTTACATATTTATGGAATTGAAAATAAACTTTTTTTCTATTAGTTTTGATAATGCTAGTAATAATGATTCAATAATAAATATTTTAAAATCTCAATTAAAACCATGTTTAAATGGTAAATTATTTCACATTAGATGTGCATGTCACATCTTAAATTTATGTATTCAAGGTGCTTTGAATATTATTTCTTATCATATTTCTAAAATTAGAAATTGTATAATATATATTAAATGTTATGGAGCAAGAAAACAAGAATTTAAATATTTATGTCAAAATTTTGGTTTAAAATATAAACATTTTGTATTAGATGTTCAACATAGATGAAATTCTACCTATTCTATGTTAGAAAGTTGTATTACATACAAATAAATTCTTAGTGATTTTTATAATGCAAAAATTAATGCCACATGATCCTATACTTGAGGAAGATTGTGAAATGACAATTTGTATAAAAGATTTTTTACAAATTTTTTGTAATGTAACTAATAAATTTTTAGGTGTTTATTATTCAACTAGTTGTCTTTTAGTTAATCGATTATTTATAATTAGTGAATGTTTTGCAATATATAGGAAAAATCCACAATTTCAAAGTATTATTGAAATAATGGAAAATAAATTTAAAAAATATTGGGAGAAAATTTCTCCCCTTTTATTTCTTAGCTATAATATTAGATCATAGAATTAGTAAAGATAGTTTATAAATTTTAATTGAATCATATTGTGAAAATATAAATATTGAAATTGGAAATAAAATAGACAAAGTTAATAGTTTATTATTTGAAATGTATAGTTTGTATGTTTCTCAAGTTGTAGGGTATGAGAAATCTTGTACAGGTGCAAGTTCCACTTTTGAAACAACTAGTTCCAGTAGTGGAAAAGACAAAATTCGATCTCTAATACATAAGAGAGGCAGAAATCTACTAGAAGTTGATTGACAAGTTCATTTACTGAACTTAACTTTTATTTATAAGCAACTTTTCTACTTTAACTGATTCACATAGTGAGGGATGGGATAATTTTGATATTTTATCCTGATGGAGGGGACATGAAAAAAACTATCCAGTCCTTGTCGCCATGGCACGCAATCTACTAATCCCTTCGGTGTTTACAATTCTTTCGGAGTGTTGTTTTAGTGTATGTAGTAGGGTGCTAGACAACAAGAGAAGTTGTATGAGTGATGAAAGTCTGGAGATGTGCATCTTACCTTAAAGATTGGTTGGATGTTGATGATAGATTACAAGACAAAGGAGGGCATGACATTACACCTGATGTTTCACCTAAAGTAGATGATGAGAATCAAGGAGATGATTAGATGAAGATGCAGGTGGAGGTGGAACTTGAAGAAAAATGGTGAAGCCAATAATTTTTAATTTTTGTATACTCAATATTTTATTATTTCAATTTTTGTAATTTCATTTCAATTTTTAAAATTATTGTAATTTTTTAATCTTATTTAAATTAGTTGTTATTTTTTAACAATGTAAGTTTTTATTTTCAATTTATAATTGTATTATATTTTATTCCATTTTCTATATTTCATTCATCCATTGTCCACTGACCATTGTATTGATCAAATTCAAGAAATAAAATTCCTATTTTTTTTCCAATTTGTTGTCAATTTTGTATTTTGTTAAGTATTTAAGTATTTTATTTAATTTATTTGTTAGATTTTTTTTATTTTTCCAATTTGTTCCCAAAGCTCAAAGGAATCATTGAATTAAGGAAAGTGAAGTATTAAGTAGCAAAAAAAAAGCAAAATGTCAAAAAAAAACAAAAAAAAAGTTTGGCCTGGTTAGGTCTAGGCCCAAGGCCCGGCCCGTAGCCCAACTTGACATGGGCTAGGTCCGCAGCTTGCTTGACCCAAACCCGCGGCATGACCTGGACTGGCATGGGCCTACACGGGCTCGGGTCGTGGGCCGTGCTGGTCTGACCCTCGAGGTATCCCAAGGGAGGAAAGCACGACCCAACTCGGCCTGCACTTTGCACGGGTTGCACCCGGGCCGTGCCATGCCGACCCAGCATGGCCCGATTTACACCTCTAACTTAATCAACCTTTCACTAAGAAGTGTTTGTTTTTAATATGAAAATGGTAATATGATCACCTAAGCTTAATGGAAAATGTTCAAGGGCATGGGCTCATGAATGTTTATTCCAAAATGACCCCTAACACTATTTTGTACAAAAACAAAATTGACCAAATAGAGCAGTTGCTCATATCTTACTAGTAGCAAAAATGGTATTTTAATTCTTATTTTTTTGATTAAATTTATTTAAATGAACATTAAGGTCAAAACTGTCATTTTCCACTATTATCAAGTGGAAGATCGATTAAGTAAATTGATTGCGAACTTCAGGGGGTGTTTTAGTAAAACATAAACTATAAGGTAGGTTTTATAAATCCATAAAACTATAAGGGGTGTTTTAATAAATGACCCCAAA